GATTTGCCTACTAACTCATATGAACATATGAGCCAAACGTCCCAAATTGATTCTAGGCCGATCTGACGATCACGGATGTTTGAATTTTAGTTTTTTTCCTACAAATCCAAATCACTTGAATTTTTAGACGTGTGTTCATCAAAAATAGTTGAATCTTCAAAAAAATATCAAAAAAATATTTTACATGAAATAAATTAACCAAAATATCCCTTAAAAACTTTGAAGGGTATTTTGATCATTTATTTTTCACGAATAATTTTTTTTATATTTTTATTAAAGGCGCCTTAATGAGAAGACACACTTAAAATTTCAAATGATTTGAACCTATAAAAAATAAAATAAAATTCAAACACTACTACACACCCGTAATCGTCAGATCGATCCAGATTCAATCTGGACCGTTAAGCTCATATATTCATATGAGCTAATGGGCTAATCTCATATTTTCCATATATATATAAATCAATTATCCCTATCTTGCATCTGTTTGATGATTTAAATCATCCAATAACCATTTATAGAATGGAAATAATTGACTTTAGAGAGAAGAGAATCTAATCCAAATTAGCAATTTTGAAAACAATACTTTCAATTTATATATCATCCTATTTTATATGATCGTCATATACCAACAATGTTGAAAGGGAAGTTATATAAGACAACTATGAAACTAGCTGAACTTTACAAAATAAAATGTTGAATGGTTAAAAAACAACAAACCTATAGAATAAATATAGCTGAGATGAAAATGTTGATCAAGATGAATGACAAGACAACAATATATAGAATTTGAAATGAATACATGGCTCTAATAAGTGATAAGATGGGATAAAATAAATTTTGGAAGGTTAACCACAGGCTTCATAAACCCAATACAATTCCTGTTAGGAGGTACAAGTTAGTTCAAATGAAAGGCAAAAAAAAAAGACAAAATCAAATACCAAATACTTGAACAAAAGCTTTGATGATGATAATATCAATCCGCTTGATAACATTTTTTTAAGAAAAAAATACAAAAATTAATTATTTTTAATACAAAGAAATCGCAATCACTCTTGACCATCAAATTTCAAACAGGTAGTTGCAAAAATTTTATTTACTAAACAATAAGTTTTAAAAAAAAAAAATCTCCCTTTATCTTAAGCCATCCACTTTTACATCTAATGGCTAGGAATAATTATGACTTCTTTGTGACAAAACTAAACACTCTCAAAATATGCATTTAACAGCTATGAATGATTATGACTTCATTATAACAAAGATAAAATACTCTCAAAGTATAAAATCCCGAATTTTTAAACTAACTTGAAAACTAGGAAACTAAACCTCTTTTGATGGAAGGAAACGGAGTGACGCTCCAACAAAAGATGGGTCGTGAAGCACAGCACTGGTGTATATTTTAGTTACGGTTCCTACTCCATTGTAAAAACACAAATGCATAATATGCATTCATAGCAAACATGAGAAAAGGGACAGCTCATGCGCGTGCACAGGCGCACACGAGAGAGAGAGAGAGAGAGAGAGAGAGAGAGAGTAGGTAATCAGACGAAGGATACGAAAGTAACGTCTCCGTACCTTACCAAACGTGGTCCTACCGACGCCACTACCAACCTAACTAACTTTACTTAACAATAAAC